TTTCAGGACTGGGGGTGCAGTGGAAGTGGCACCTTTCTGCTGTGGATTTCACGCGTGCTGGTAAACTGAAGTCCGCCATCTTTTTTCAGCCAACAGATTTATTTCCACTTTCACATGGGCTTTTTAAAAGTGATGGAAAGGGCAAGACTCACCCTTGAGGGAAAGAAAAGTACATAGAAGAAATAGTATGCTAATCAATTAGGTGCCTTGTTTAAAGTGCAAGTAGTAGCAGCAACAGTGATGGAGCCTGTAAGCAGTTTAAAGCCCAAGATCACTTCGTGTAGTAGTTCAGGTATGGGACATACACAGATCTTTCTTCTGCCAGAAATCATCTTGCTTATGATGTTTTCTCCTCTGAAGAGGAAATGGATCTTCAAGTGATCTGTGATAGACTCCCATCAGATTTCTCATCCTGTGCCACTCTAGGGGGCTGAAGGATTTAAAATTGCTAAGGTGACATCACCCTTTGTGTGCACGTTAAAGAATAAACAAAATTTCCCTGGTGAACTGTGAGGTTTCGGTGTATTAGTGAGTTCGGAATACAGAGTATCAAGCAGCAGTGCATGTAGTTTGCAAGTTTGTTACCTCTTACTCTCACTTACCTGGGCTTTGAACCAGGATGATTAACAAGAAGAAGAATGGAGCCAGAACCACCCAGGTCTGAGCCATCTTCAACAGGTGCTGCAGAAAGTGAAGGCAAAGAAAGAGACATGGAATTACAAATAGTTGTGCAAGTGCCTTCAAAGAGAAGCCACAGCAAAACCTTTATTTCCTTTGAAAACAGAAATTCTAGAAAAGACTCCAGGTCAAGTATCATTCTTATGCTGAAGAAAGACAGAAAGAGTTGTGAAAAATAAGTTTTAGAAATCCAGGATCTCTGGCACCCTTTTCCAGTCATCTCCATCTGTTCACCATTCACACTAGCTTTGTGCAGCTAGCTAGCACAAAGAATAGCAAGAGACCTGGTATTCCATTAGAGGCTTAGCCACAGAGAATGAAAAGGTTTTGCTAGAGGGCACATGCATGCTTTACAACTCTTTCTGAAAAATAAAGGCAATTGAAAGATCACAATCTAGTCTTCATCATCTGCTTTAAGGAAGCAACTCAAAGAAGTGATTCCTAATGCTTGCCATGCTTTTAATTTCCCAAAAGGCAGCTCCACTTCCCTAGTAGAGCAAAAAGGGCAATAATCTTATTATAAATGATCAAAGCCATGTAAGTTTATTATTTCCTGCTTTTTGGACACAGTGTTTTGGAGAGGCATTTAGTAACCCTATGTAAACTGTATATATATGTGTATATATATATACACACACACACACACATATATTTAATAACATTAATAACTATATGTATTTTAGGAAAGTATTCTGTATCGATTGCTAACTAATTCTTATCAAATGAGCAACTATTCACTGGTTAGACCAAGATGATTGCTTTCACTCAAACCCCTTGTTTTCAGTTCCATACAAAGAAAAAATCAAAATATATGGGGTTCTTAGGGGAGAATTTTGATAAAAGCTCTTTCAGTTGTTGCTTGAACATAAATTTAGGTAAGAATGTCACCAAAACTTTTCTGCAGTCAGATATCATACATAAATGACCTCAGTCTGGCAAGGCAGTTTTGCATTATACTGTGTAAACTACATACATGTGTATTTACACAGCCCAAATCCCAATGACTCTGCTCAGGTCTCCAGGCTGCAGCTCATTTCGGAGAAGCATCTGCTGCAACTCACGCAGATTCTGTCACAACCAAGAGATTGAGCAGGGGAGTTGAACTAGATGGTCTCTAGAGGTCCCTTCTAACCTCAGCCACTCTGTGATTTTATCTGATTCACTGCTGATACATTGCTGCAGCCCCAACCAAGAGACATACAAGAGTGACTATATCTTCTTTCCTGATGTTGCTATCATGAATCATTCATCAACAACAAAGAGCGAGTTCATGTGCCACAAAAGACTGACAGCTCCCACAGTGATTCCATGTCACTAGTCTTCTGAAGCTTTTATCGCCAAATATTTGCTCCCTTTTCTTCAACCTGATTATAGAGGTTCGAGCAGTATTCCCTCCTACTCCTGTTCCTAATTATATCATCTCTTCTGATCCTTTCCCTATGGCATTCTGCTTGTTGGACAGACAGTCCAGACCTCTAGCTTACTACTCAGAGAGACTAGAGTCCTGTCAGACAAGGTCAGAGGTGGTTTTCTTTGCCGTTGTTCTTCAGAAACTACCATTTTATTATACTGCAGGCCGGGCTTAGGAGCCTGATTGGGATTTTTGCTCCATGCATCTTCACCCCATTTACCTGCACTTTTTTCTTCAAAGTCTCTCTATCTTGATGATAAAGTCAAATCATTTTCCACCACACACATCTGCATTGTCAAAAATTCTCTTCTTTTTGGCCTTTTTGGCATTCTCTCCTTTACGCATCCATTTATGTTTTTTCAACACTCTATTTTCTATATCAACTGCAACTAGAGATAACTGAAAGATGGCCTTTCCATTCTATGGAAAGTACTGATATTTCAACAGTTGTCCAAGTTAAAACCCAGTATGCACCAGACCAGCAAATGTTTTCATGCAATGGTTGATTCAGAAATGTCATTATTTTGATTAGTGCTGTTCAGGTTCATTTTTAAGTACAAGTATGTTCCTCATAATGTGCTGGGAGGAGGGAAAGAAAGGTGGCCAAAGTTTAAGCCTTCCTATGCACACACAAACCCAGATTCTCAACTCATACCAACTGATATGAAAGTTATAGGCCTCAACAATGTAGCATTAAAATTACATTTTAAAATATATCAAGTGAGGATGTCTGGTGCACAGAAAAAAAAAAGGGGGAAAAAGAAAAAACAAAAACAACAGCACCCAGATCACTGCCATATTCGTGTCAAAGAAAAAAATCAAACACTGACACATTTGTAATCCACATGCAAGAGGATTTTTTTTCTTAAACACACTGCAGTATGTGCGCATATTCAGACAATAGCATGGCAGGTTTTCTGCAAAATTCTGACAGAACTCTGACAAATCTGGATGAAAAGCTTTCATTTCAACCTAGAAATAATGCCAGTGCAACTACACTGAACAGTATTCTACTACTAACCTGCAATATGTAATGTAACTAACTCCTATGTTACAAACCTCCCAAATTTCGTTTTTCATTCACTGAAAATATTTGCCACAGTGAAATGTTTTGGTTTGCTTCATGTTATTCAATACCATTTAAAGTGTTTTTTTTTCTACATTGGATAAATTATGACAAGAGGTACTTTCAGCCAAAAAAAGAAAAAAAAATGAAGAATTTGATTCTATCTTGTCAAAAAAAAGCTTTTTAGTCAAAACATATACTGAATTTGACCCAATTTTTGAATTGCCCTAAAAAACTATCCTTTTTAAAATTGCATTCAAATCATATATGTGTGGTTATTTGTTCAAAAATACAGGCATTAATGATTAAAAAAGGGGCATTACAGAAAGAACAGAGGATATACTGTTTAACTATTCACATACAAAAAATGGAATTTAGATTGTGATTTTTAAGGTTCACATCCTTGAATACTTATGCCTGTTAGCAAGAAGTAAGTCTCAGAGTAAAACCCGAAAAAGGGAAACCAAACGCAGATGAATCAAATTCATTTAAAAGTAACAAATGAATATTTGCAGATTGTCTTGTGCCGTTTCCTTGGATGGAATTAAAATGCCTCAGTAACTGCATTAAAATAAATTAAAATTTGAAGTCAGCCTTGACAGCAGCGGCTGGCAGAAAGCCACGCGACGCGTGTGCCTCTCCTCCGCTAGCCTCAGCCTTCCAGCTGGAGGCTGCCACCGCTCACGTTTGAATTCACCCACTGAATACTAAGGACGGAGGAAAGTTATCGGGTTGTCAGCCTGGAGAAAAGTCCTGCGGTCACCGAAGACAAACAGCAGCAGCACCAAGGGGCTCCAGGCTTGTGGTAACCCTGTTCTGGGGAAGAGAAGAGGATGTCGGTGCACACATTGGCTCTGGCAGTGAGGATAGTTGTGGTGGCAGCTTACAAGGAGAACTGGTCAGAGAAACTGGAGCTCGCCTTCCCACATCAAGCCCAGACAGTTCCGCAAAACTGAGGACAATCTCGGTTCAGGACTACCAGTCCCAGATACAACCTGTCTTCAGCTGTACGGTTCATGATGCTCTTTCCACTGAAGCTCCTCAGATTTTGCTGTGTTGTTGGCTAGTCTCAGAGACAGACATAGCTCTGCCCCCTAAATGAGAGAAGCTGTGCCCTTCTGAATCAGCTCGGCCAAGATAAGACATCTGCTTGCACATGCCTCTCCGAAGGATGTAACACAGTTAAAACTAGGGAAACAAACTGCTTTCTGCCATGAAGAACAAACCACAACTTTAGATTATCTGTTCTGATGCATCAAATGCGATCTGCAAGCATGGTGCTAACCAGAGCAGCATCTTAAAATTAAATAAAAGCAATGTTCAACGTAATGAAAGTGTTTTAAATATAAGCTGAAGGAGGAAGGGTGCAGACTGCAAAGAATCAAGAATCAGAGTAGAACTCACTATTGCAACATTTTAAAAACATCCCACATGTTCCAAAGCCATTCCCATGATTAACTCAGGAAAATACAGTTCTGCTTTTTAATGAAAACAGGCCTTAAGGAGCAGAAAATACCTTGTTTGAGAATGTCTGTTTTCTAAAATTTCTGGTGTTTTTGGCCAGGGGAGAAGAAGAGGAAGTTGCACACAGCTGTGCCAACTCTCCCACCTCTCATCCAAGTACAACGTAGCAAGAAGGAGTACCCAAAACAAGACTACGTTATTTAAAATCCCAAACCACGGTTTTAGTGCAGCCAGAACTTTCACACATCATCTGCCTACCTTGCGATAAGATGCAGCATCTGTTTCAATACATTAAATGTTTCCTTTGCAGTAAATAACTGGAGCAGTTTTCATGGCAAGCTCAGAAGTTCTCCTCAAAACTGAAACATGCGCTGCTAGACATCCGCATTGTACCAGTTACCCGAGGAAATGTAGCAGCGGTTTTGCCTGTAGGTCTGCATTTCCTGTGTATCTCAGGGGGGCAGGTCCTGGCCTGGGTTTGGGGCAGCTTATGAACTACTTTCCAAGTATTGAATTCCAGTTTCATGGAATTAATCACTCAGGTCTCAGAGCAGCCTGCAGTCCCTTCTTGGGTAACAGGCACTCTTGAATATTGTCCCCAGTCACTCCTGAGCAATGATCCACTCTGAGCATTCTTGAAGTCCCTCAGCTGGAAATGAAGTTGCAAAATGTGAGAAGACCTAGAAGGAAGATGTACCATAGCAAGTTAGGAAATATTTACCTTTTGATAACTCTCAGCAACTGAAAATTTGCCTTGTAGGAGAGGAAGATTTCAATATTTGCTTGCCCTATTCTTAAAAATCTTCCTTAACTATCTGTTGTGTGTCACTGAGAAAAAAAAAAAGGTACTGGGCTAGTCAGACCCAGCCTTCTGGTATTTTTGTTTTGAAGTCCCAGGAATGGCCCTGCAAAAGCTCAGCCAGGAGTCAGGTACTCCAGCTGCAAGGGGTCACATGCACGGTCCTCTTTGGACTCCTCACATATAGAAGGCATGAATTTTTATATATCTTAATTTTCAATGGGAAATCTGTTCTCCACTTCTGGGTTTAT